TATCTTTGTGGAAAGATATGTGTATATGCTTCTGTTGCTCTTAAACAAAACACGTGGGACAGTGTATTTATATTTTACAAGATGTCTGTCAGTCTGTCTGTCAACAATTGGCCCGTTTTAAAACCTCTGTCAATAGGATTCCCGTTTTAAGTTATTTTTGTTCGACATCAATAAAGAAAACCCCCTATGACTCCTGGTTCAAAAGCTTGCCTATTTTCAAAATGGCCGCCATTTTTGTCTCACGAAATTCACTTTTGGACCATTTGCTTTAAAACCTGTGTCGATAAGATTCCCATCATTCACTTTAAAGCAACACCATGTGAGCACAGTACCCACGGTATTATTTTATTGAAGCTTAGAACTGAATTTACATTTCTTAATGCTGAAAAATCCATACATTTTAAGAAAATGGGTATGTAAAAAAGATGTTAAGCCAAATGTTGCCTTGATAGCTCAGAAAAAGTTAAACTTTTCCTATTTTCTCTTGTTGCCCCTTTAACAAATAAATCAATGGTTTGTACCTTAGCCATATATAAAATCTATCCACTCTTAACATGAGCTTTAATAATGTGATTTAATATATTCAGGATTCAATGTTTGATCAATAAAATTAAATCAATAACATCAGTCTTACATTGATTTAATCTTAAACATATTTTTTGTACAGCTAGTTGTAGTTCAGGGAAATTGAAATTGTTGCATTCAACCATGGGCTTTCAACTAATTGAAAGCCCATGATTCAACCAAGGATGAATGTAACATCCTAGCATACAACACACCTTTTACATGTCTTTGTGATACAAATGATTCTGGCTCAGAGAGAAAATAGGTAACTTCAAGATATAAAAAAATCCCGAAATTTTAAGGAAGGGCAAAAGTGATTTAAAAATTAGCAAACTGAAAAATTCAAGTTTTGTTTAGTGGACTAGGCAGTGACAGTATTTTTTATAACAAACTGCATGTGTCTCTTGGCAAGTATAGTTGTTTCAGAGGACCCCATACAAGTTTTTGATTGTAACTTTGACTGTGATTTGAACACATGCATTTTATCTCTTGTTTAACATTATCCTCATGTGCTACGGATATATTGCAATGTCTTGATTTAACCTCCTGTTAATAATTTGTTTGAAGATCTATTAGATATAATTGATAATGATTAATAATAATAGGTTTCAGTATTTATAAATTGCATTTATTCCTACAGCTTTCTGCTGGTTTATACAGGTGTCTACTGGTTTGTATATTAACTGATATAAGTGATAAATTTTAATACATTCTTCCATGGTTCTGCAGGTGATCTAAATAGGCAATTAATCATAGATAATTTGCATTAAATGTACTACTTTATGAAATAAAAGCATGACATTGCTCAACAGAATCGACATCAAATCTGAAACCATGATTATCCCATCGAACCAAGTCTGATAGGGATATAGAGGAGTCAATAAGTTTGCATTGCAGAATCCTGTGTAAGTCTATATTGTAGAATGCCACGGTGCTGGACATCATCAATAAAGAATAACCTCCCAGCCAAAAAATCAAATATGAAAAGATTCATCTCTCATTGCCATCTCATTTACGTTATGTATACAAGTACTGTGTATGAATATTCAAGTTCTGTTTAAATCACAAAGTTGAAATCTTTTAACTTTCCAATATGACTTTCCAAAATAAAGTCAACTTCTTTATGATTGTTCAGTTGTAGTCAGTCTATCATCTTACATTTTTGCTTCTAAGTGAATTAACTAGGTCTCCGGGGATTTTATACATGATCTATCTTTGGCACTAATCATTTTAAAAGTAGACTTCAGTACATTATCTTATTAGTTTTTCTCATTGATGTTGAAATACCAATAATGTGGTTCTTTTTCCTTATTTTTCTGTGCCTTACTTTAACAAGAACATTTTATTAGTCCTCTTCACTTATTTTTCATTTTATCTCAAATGGAAATGTTCAGCTACCCAAAGTATCGTAGCCATGAACATCTCCACAAACAAAAGTGTTCCTCAATTTTTTCTAAAAGTGTGGTATTGTAGGACCCATTCGTAAAAACAGATAATTTACTATAGATTGAGATAGTTAAAAGTTGATATCCCTAATAGAACTTAAAGCCATTTGGGGATAACGTTGCACTAATTCTGCTAAATTACTTTTTCCATACTGTACCTTGACCTCATTGAAGGATATTTGAACATATCTGTTTATAAATCTGTTTCTAAATTGTTTGCTTAAAGTGCTTTAATTCTTTAATTAACTTTCCATTTATCCTAATGACATGGGACAGTACAGTCGTAATAAACTGCTGCTGTTTAACATTGTTTTACCAATGAAAAATCAGAATGCAGGACTAGATTTGTTTTACCTTGAAGATTCTGGCATTGGTCGCATATGAAAATATAAAATGGTGTTCCTCTGTCAATTTGATTAAGGGTTAAGAATTAAGGCAAAACGCATCATTATTTTTGATGATCAATGACATTTGATTATGTGTTGTGCCTTTTGATACTTTACATGAAAAAAAGTCAGGCTATCAAATGACATATTAGTCATCGCTCATTGTCATATCTTTTGATGATATATCAATAACTTTGATAAATCATTTCATATTCCTTTTCGTCCTTAGAATGAGGTTCAAGAATCTTAACTGTTTGTTTGGTTGTAACCATAGTAAGATAACTTAAAAAATTGTAAAATCTTAAAACAAACTTTGAATATACAGGAAATATTGATGCATTGATTCAAAACATTTCTACTAAGGTGTAATAATATATACCTAATTTAAATTTGGACTATAACTATGTTTTCAATCACGCCGTCCAAGCATCGAAAAAACGCAATGCAAAAATGTTGGACCCACAAATAAAATTAACTGCGTTTTTTGGATGCAGTGCAAGTTATACGCACAAAATCAACTTTGGATGAATGATTTGATAAAGATCTTACCTTCAGTCTCTTTATTTCGTCAGAATCTACTAAATAATTGAAGGAAATTCTATTTCTTAGAGAAATAAAAAGTAAAATTTTCTTTCGAAGTTTCCTTCCCGGACATACCCTTTGCATTCGTTTGACTTCACTTCTTAAAAGAGGGCTTCGTCTTTCAAACTAAAATAAACCTGTGAACTCATCGCGCCAATCAGTGTTCGTTGGCCAAATTTGACCGATGTTTTATATATGGTCTTTCCCATCTGATGTCATCGTTGAGCCCGGAATTGACCAATGACACGCGCATATTTAATTAGAACGCATTTTGCGTATGTTTCTTCAAGCTCAGTGATTGGTGGAAGAAAGGTCAGTGCACAGGTCAGAAATGATTTATAACCCAAACTGTCATCGGTACCCGTTGTGGGGGCGGGGCTACTAAACTGTAATATGGTCTCTGCTAGGCAGAGTGTAGTTTAACTAGACTCTGCACGCAGGGTATCCCGGAAGTTGATTTCTGACCAAAATAGTACGAGGCATGTGCTAGGATAAATAGTTATCCAATACTTGATTTCCGAGCAATAATCAGTACGAGTCCTACGATTGGCCACTAGCTGAAGACCTGATTTAAACCATTTTCTATTGGTCAAGTGCGATCACGTGATCATTATTTAAGAATGTGCAAGCGTAAGAAACTGAACCATAAAATGGAACTTCGCGCAGATTTGCCCCTAAAGCAAGATATTTCTGAGCCATCAAAATCAATAGCAAATTGCTTCGAAATATGTAAAGAAAAATGTGTGTTTAATGGAATATTATTAATTATTAATGGAATACATATTATACAACTGTTGACTGGTCCAAAAATTGGCTGGGCAAATTATCTGGCTTTATTATAAACCATAGATGCTCTTTTTTCTTTTACTTTTAAACATCAACGATGCATCGCTACAATTTTAACAGGAATATTTTAAACTGAAAAGTTACTTAATGTCAAAGGGAAACGAGTAGGAGTCCTTCACTGCATCATCAGCAGGCGTCTCTGATTCTTACTTGATCTGAATTTATCTGAAATGAGGAATTACAACCATATACATGTACAATATTGTTGCGCATCATATTCTTTTGTTACTGTCGTTATATTTAAGTGTAGACACATTAAAATATGAAATATAAGATATTACAATGTTTCTGGTTTTTGAGATCAGTAAATCTAACATCAAACTCATGCTATTCATAGCATTCTCACGATAGCTAAGAAATGACATGTTCAGGTGTTGATAATTAAACTGATCCATGGCCTATCAGTATACATGTTCTGTTGAAATTGTTCACCATTAATTAACCTAATTAAAATCTTGGGATTTCATGTTAAAATCAAGTAATTTGTTTACCTACTTTTGGTAAACCAGCAATTATGTGATAACATTTGTAATGTCTTAATAAGCTGTAATTCATACATATTATATAAAGTGAACTGATTTTAACAGTATGTATGTTATTATATTGCATTTGTAATATTATTAGAGTATGCTAACCATGACTATGTGGTATATAGATAATCATCATGTAGGAGGGATCTGGAGATCAATTACTTTTCAACCAGTTTATTCCTTCAGTCATATGAAATACCTTGATGGTTACAAGACACCCATACCCCGGGACCCATACTAATCTTTTTACCAGAATATGTTTGTACTGTAAATTGTAAAAGTTGTAAAGTGAACACTGCTAAAATCGTTCACATTGAAATATGTTCAAAAATATAACTTGTAGGCACAGATAATACAGTCTAGCCAGTGGGACATATGCAGCAATTGAATACTGAAGTAGCATTTGAAAAAATTGTACTAAATCTAATGTCAAAGAAAATGACACAATTAGGACTCAATTTAAGTTATATAGACTATACATGTATATTTAAAACTTTGAAACAAGAAATTGTTATACCATCACAGAATATATCATGAAAAATAACAATCACAGGAGCCAAGATGTTGATGCAGCTTCTAAAGTTAGAGAACCCATATAAGTAAAGACATACAAAATTCTTCAATTATGATTCTGTAATCAATTCCAGCATTGCACATGTCATCGGATGTTGCGGGAGCCACGTTTATGGCTGCAGGGAGCTCTGCACCTGAATTAGCAACATCTTTAATAGGAACATTTGTAACTCAGGTAAACCATATATGTGGATGGCTTTGGTAGTTTTCCTGCATGTATGTGTTGTATATATATTTATTGTGATTGTATTGATGTATGCACCGTTGTTTTGTAATTCCTCATATGGTGATGGTTAAGGCCTTTGGAACAGGTGTTGCTATGTCAACAGTGAACGTACACATGAATCTGGCTTAAATGCACAAGCTGCTTATGATGAGCACATTGGACTAACAGTTTTCAAGTTATCTTGCATTCCTGTGGTGAATGGTTTTATCATTATAGCCTTTGTATTATGATGGAAATGCAATATAACATATGACGATAGGTTTGTGTCATATTCTCTTGTTCTAAAGGGACCCCACTAGTTTAATGGTTTTCCCATATTATTGTGTTCTTGCTTGTATTGGAATGAACACATGAATCTGGCTTAAATGCATAAGCTGCTTTATGAGCACATTGGACTAACAGTTTTCAAGTTATCTTGCATTCTTGTGGTGAATGGTTTTATCATTATAGTCTTTAGGGGTCCCATGTTTGATATTGTTATGTAAATTGAAATTCGAACAATGAGTTTTACCTAACAATGCAGAAAGCTGAATCAAATCATGTTAATTTTTATTTTAGTAGATCTGCAAAAATGAAAGTGAAGGTTAAGAAATGAAATGAGTAAAAAAAGAAAATGATAAAGGTAAACTTCGATACTAAAATAGGCATTAGGCAAGGCAAACTTAAATATGAAAAATAAAGAATTAACTTATATACTATATTAAGGTCTCATGGTTATGCCAACATTAGTAAAATAACAGCATTTTAAGCTAAGCGCCATTATTTTTCAAAATCACTTTTGAGATTAACAAGTTACTGATATCACATCCATTGCATGGATTAATCAATTACAGCAAATTCTATTCCACTCTTAGTGTGACAAATGTATACATGTAACACAGACCGTGAAAAGACTAGGGTCCATGCTTTGAACCAAGCTCTGTTAAGCTTTCCTACACTTTGGGTCAAGCTTTGCTGAGCTTTGTTACGCTTTGTTAAGCTTTGATACACTCTCGGCGCTTTAATCAATTCGTAACAGAGCGCCCAAAATTTCAAAACTTTTTGGCGCTCTTGCCGAATATCCCGCTTTACTCCGAGCTTTTCTATGACCTGTTACGACCCCGACACTTTAATCAAGCTTTGTTATGCTTTGGTGCCACTTTACAAGCCGCTTTAAAGCACCATCAAAGCGCCATTGGTGTGAACGTAGCTTAATGAATTCAACATGTTGATGAAAGTAATATGTTTCCGAATAATATGATATCATATACTTACACTAATATACTGCCATGAGTTATTCTATTATTTGAATTACTCTATGAATTATATAGAATTGTCTCTTACCATTACAACATGTGGCATTTTGGATGGTGGCGGGGGCTCAGGTGCTGGAATATATTATGATGGAAACCCAATATAACATATGACGATAGGTTTGTGTCATATTCTCTTGTTCTAAAGAGAGCTCACTAATTTAATGGTTTTCCCATATTATTGTGTTCTAGCTTGTATTGGAAGAAACATTGGCTAAGTATTTGGAAGATATTTTGTTGTATAGTCAGGGGTTTCATTAGCAGTAGGCAACAGGCGATTTTCAATGGTTGTTTTTCAGGACTTTTCCATGTAAATTCATGATTTCCTTTAATTTTGCCTGTTGTTGATATGTATTTAGCCTGTTGTGAGAAATTCTAGTGAAACCCCTGATAGAGTAGATACAAACCTTCAGAAAAAAGATTCTTGTAAAAACCATGTGGGATTGTCACAAATGTGTCATGCTTTATAACCTGGTGTTATAACAGGTGTTTGTTTGTCTGTTTTCAGATTTTTCTTATGTGACCATTAACCACTTGTTCTTGCTTGCCTTTAATCACTGGGGAGTATCGTGATGCAACAACACCGTGTTGTTGCATCAAGATGGCCAGACTTCCGGTGATAGATTTTCGTACGATATGTTGTTTCCCCAATTTAAACCCATTTCTAGGACGAGTTTCTCAATAACCATACACGTGAAGTTAGCGCACGATCTATATTTAAAGAAACTGTCATTAGTATACATGTAGCATCATCAAGAAGCAAGAAGTTCACGGTTTTAGTTCCTCACTATTGATGCAACAACACCAAACCGAAGATGCAACAACACTCCTCTAGATTTGAGCAATGATGCAACAACACCAATTAATAGTATAATTTCAGATGACCATAAATCTCGAGAGGAACAGATTTTTGAATGCCACTATTGCAACACCGGGCCAGTACCCATTTGCGTTCTTCTCAGGCATTCAAAATACACGTCCTGCGGCGAAGATTCTTATGTATTTTCAAAAATTTATACTTTTAAATATCATAATGTACTGGAAGTTGTTTTATAACATAGTTCAATCGCCTTTAACATTGCAAGCTATGGTAACCCAATCTATTATCATAAACCCCTGTTCCATAGCTTGATGACCCTGATACCAGTTAGTGTCATTCAAAATGGTGGACAAACATCTTTCGTTCTCGGTAAACACGACGAGCTATTGGAAATCTTGCACAGCGCACATGCAGAAGTATTGTTCTCTTTGGATTCGTTCTCCCCGATTGAGTAAAAAGGTAGGTAATAGGATTTAGGTCCCGAAAAGGTAAATTGATAGGGGTACAGTAATCCCAGATTTCCCCTGGGCCCTCGGGAAATATCATAATGTGTCCCGGAATAAAACCAATATTGAATCCCTCTCAGTAAATAACCTCTATATAATAGCATTGTATAACTGCAATATCATTAAACCAACACTCATCGGAACTTATGGCGTTTTGAAAACTCAAAATCGCTAAATTTGGTGCCCCATGTTAAGTCAATGGGAAAACTTTTTTTTTTGAAGTGTAAAATACGACATATATACGACCGAGTACAGCTTAATTTAATGAAAGCCTTTAAATGAAGGGTACCTCAAAAGCAATCTAGCTTCAAAATTTGGACACAAAAATGTCTAGGTCAAAATCTAGGTCAAATTCAAAGTTTTCCTTATTTTTGTGATTCTGACACTACACTTCAATTATATTCTTCGAAATTGTGTATACATGTAGCCAAGAGTGTACTTATAGTGTTAGCCTTTTGCCGTCAGAAAGTATTTTAACCCACTTTTGAGATATGGTGTCCAAAAAGTAGGTCAAAATAAGAAATTCTCCAAATTTAACGTTTGAGTTATGAATGAAGAATATAATTTTCTCAGGAATCAGAATTTGCAAACCAAATTTCGATCCGACTTCCGGTTCGTAAGTTATGGCGTTTTGAAATTTCGAGAAAAATCGATCTGATGGTATCCTGATAGAAAGAGTAGCGAAGAAAATGTTGAAAAATCCATCCTTCCATCCATCCTTCCTATCCTATCCTACTATTCTATCCTATCGTTCCTTCTTATTCTATCCTATCCTGCTATCCTATCCCTTTTATCCCTATCCTTTCCTTCTTATCTATCCTTCATATCCTTTCATTCCTATCTATCTATCCTTCCTATCCTTTACTTCCTATCTTATCCTTATCTCTTATCTCTCCCATCGTTCCATCCTATTCTGTCCTATCCCTCCTTCCTATTTCATCCATCCATCCATCTTTTTCTGGATGACTCGGCTTAAAAAAGTCCAGATCTGGAGTCTGGATTTGAACTTGTTCAATTTCCAAAGTCTAGTTATACCAGGTCGATCAATAAGTTCTGAGAATTTTCCTCTAAAATCAAGAGTTTTGTGAATTTTTATTTGAAATTTTCACAGAACATGTAATATGAATTCAGCAATTAGTGTAAGAAGTTAAATGCACTTTCCACCTATTGGGCCAAAATTATGGTTACCATGGTAACTCGTGTTTTGGGTAGGCGGGGCAAGTATTTTTAACGTAAATAAATTTTTTTAACATCAAGCAACAATCTTATGTTTCAACCAAAGCATTGGATTTCAATGAGGATTTTGTTGTTTTTATAACCATCACTATGGTAACAATTTAATATGACATCATAATTCAGGACAAATTACATAATATTACTATTACATCATAATTCCACAACCTCAATGTACCCTGCCAAAATGGCCGCTCCAAAAGATGCTAAAAATTTGGAAGAAAATGAGGAAATGTCAATACAGATGCGCAGTGCCATACGATTTTGCGTGCTTGGTGGCAAAAGTAAACAAGAAACACTCAAGGAGATGTTGGTAGCCTTTCCAGGCAGGATATCCACTAAAACTATTTACAGATGGTATGGCAAATTCCAAAGTGGGAGAACCAGTGTAAAAGATGAAGCAAGGTCAGGAAGGCCACTATCTGTTACAAAGCCCACAAATATAATGAAGCTCAAGACTGTCCTTGATGAAGACAGGCGAATAACAATCAGGGAGTTAAGTGAAAAAGTAAACTTCAGCTATGGAAGGACACAGTACATACTGAAAGAGAAGCTCCATATGAAGCTTGTGTGTTCTAAATGGGTGCCAAAAGATCTAACCATGGACCAGAAGCAGCGCCGGGTCGATGTTGCACAAGACTTCCTCAGACGATACCAAGCAGAGGGGGAGGCTTTCTTGGAGCGCATTATTACTGCTGATGAAGTTTATGTTTCATATTATGAGCCAGAAGGCAAGAGGGCCACAAGTGGATGGAGAACAAAGGACTCCCCTACCCCTATGACGACCATTGCTAAACTCAATCGTAGAGATGGCAAGGTTATGTTCATCATTTTCCTGGATATCTACGGGGTACTCCTGGTGCATGCAGTCGCTGAAGGACAAACCATAAACAAAGACTATTATGCTATGGTAAGTTAGTGTGTGGCTATTGATGCCCTTCAGGATCATGTCTTGCCAGAGAATTTATGTTCACTCTAGTCTAGGTAGTTCAGCTTGAATGTACATGTAGTTTAAATACATCTAGTGAGGGAATGGTGCCCTAAAAATCACTTCTTTTTTCAGGTATTGAAACGTCATCTTAAGCGGGCTATTGCACGAAAACGCCCTGAAACAGAGCTGTCGTCATTACTTAATCATCACGACAATGCCCCGTCCCACACATCTTCGATTGTCAAAAGCACTGTATCTAATGACCTTCAGATGGAACAACTACCCCATGCTCCCTATTCACCAGATGTTGCGATCTGTGATTTTGGTGTGTTTGGACCGATGAAAGATGAGCTGAGAGGATTCAGATATGCGAACTTTACAGACCTCCACAATGCCGTGCAAAATGCCCTGAAAAAACGTTTCCCAGATGGATTTAGGCACTTGTTCCGCCAGTTGGTTCAACGCCAGGAGAGGTGTATTAAGAACCGAGGAAATTACTTTGAACATCTCAATTGAACCCCCTTGACATCTTACTAGGACTATATGACCAACCCTAATGCAGGAAGCAGCTCAGAACTATATTTATAATTGATTTATAAATGATTTATTTACATTTTATGCGCTTTACTTCTGACATTAAAATTATTTGCCCCGCCTACCCAAAACACAAGTTACCATAGTAACCATATTTTTGGTCCAATAAAAGGAAAGTAAGTAAAACTTGGTACACTAATTGCTGAATACATTCTACATATTCTGTGAAAATTTCATTCAAAAAGTCACAAAACTCTTGATTTTAGAGGGAAATTCTCAGAACTTATTGATCGACCTGGTATTTGTAAACAATTTCCATACGATACGGTAAATCAAGGGGATTTAATTTAGAAAATGAATAATCTTTATTTTTCAGATACAATATCAATGAGGTTGGCTCCCGGGGATTCAATACTTAGCCTATGTATTTAGTTTACCTTGTATATCCTTTTAACTTTATAAAGACAAATACATTAAGGAACCAAACAAAATACGTTTCATTCATGAACCACGCACTCACGCGTTTTATTCATGTCCAGGCCAACACCTATAAACAGAACATAAAACAGTTTCTCTTGATATTCAATGATACATTATATTGGCGTTTTTGCATCAGCACATTGGTGTTGTTGCATCATCGATAATAAACAGAGTGGTGTTGTTGCATCAATAGTGAGGAATTAAAACCGCAAATTTCTCGCTTCTTGATGATGCTACATGCATACTAATGAGAGTTTTTTAAAATATAGATCATGAGCTAACTGCATGTGTATGATTATTGAGCAACTCGTCCTAGAAATGGGTTTAAATTGGGAAAACAAAATATCGTACGAAAACCTATCACCGGAAGTCTGGCCATCTTGATGCAACAACACGGTGTTGTTGCATCACGATACCCCCCAGTGTTTAATGATGGAACTAACAATTTTACCTTTACTAGAATGTATTTGTGCATGTTAAATCGTGGGCTTTCTCTTGAAAGCCCATGGTTAAATCGATGAATTCATTGAAAAAATGATTTTTAATATTCAGCACAATTCAAAGTGCATTTTTAAAACTTTCTGTTTGCTCAAACCACGAGCACTTTGCAAAAATATTAAAAAATTAGATGTTATGTTATATTTTGTTTATTTAGATAACACATGTCATTTTTGACACCAAACCATTGCGGAGGGAAATTTTATAATTTTTATTGTAAAGATTCTGTTTTGAAAAAAATCTGCATTACCCTGTACATGTAGTAAAAATATGATAATGTGTAATAATATAATTTAATGATATACAGTACTATATGACATCTAAATATATTTCTTACAGGTATTGATTTTTGATTCTGAACATTGCATTATCATAGGCTCAAATGAGAAAAGTGATTTCATGATCAAGAGCATTGAAAATGATTCTGGTCTAGCTGTAAAGCAATCTTTATTAGCAACTCTTTAAACACAAAAAGGCATGCATTAGTTCTTTTCTAGTTGTGATAATAACAGCAATTTATTGAAATCATTTCTGACAAATTAACATGTTAAAATCACATATACAAGTAAAGATCAACTTTCCACTGAGTCAACTATGGTTAGAGTTACATAGCAGATTTGATTGCTTCGTTACAAAACATTTTGACAAATTAGTTGGTTGTGCCATGGGCTTCCAAGTTGAACAATAATGCAATAATGTTAAACTTGTTAATGCCTAATTCAAATCTTATGGGCCATAAGATTTTATTCTCGAATGCAGGGTTCCAGACATCATCCACAAAGTTCCTTACGAGTTCTGGAGGCCTGTGTTCAGAGGATGTAAGATTTACATGCCCCAATTTCAACCTACATAATTGCTACGTCTTGTACATGTTTTATATCAATTAAACAATAAAACACACTGAAAATATTGTTTTAATTTTCAGGATGACATTGCTCTAGGTGCAGTTGTTGGCTCAGCAGTCTTTAACATCCTCTTTGTCATCAGCGTTTGTGCCTTGTTTGGAGGGGCTGTAAGTACTATTCATATTGTATTAACTCTAGCCAATACCAGTTTGATACACCAGATACATGTATACTATTGAAATAAGATGCACCAAAGAGAAATAGACTGGTTTGACCCAGTTTTTTCAATTTAAACATGTGAGTTCTATCGATCAGATGCAAAATCTGGTGCTACCAGCGGTGGTAACTTTCAAAATGGATATCAAATTGATTTGTTCAAATCACTTTTTGTCTAAAATACTAAATACAGTGGTTTTCCCGAACCTTTCCAGTTACCTGTACATCAAGTTTATGTAAACTGACTTTCAGAAATTTAAAAATCAACTTTTATTAAAACTACCTCCCGTGTGGCCCAAGTATCAACCATACTATTATCAAGGATTTTGGCACATTTAATAGCAAGTGGATATTCCTTGCAAGCCCATTTCTCAACATGGGAAAATGTTTTGATATATGGTCAAAATGAATCATTTTAAAATGCAACTTGCTCTGCCACCCTTTAAAATTTCGTACAGGAAGTGATGTCATCGATTTTTAACTCTTATAAACTAGCACATCACAGTGTAGGAAATGGTCTTGCAAGGAATATCCCTCTGATGCCTGTTGGAGGGGCTGGCATTGGTTTATATTCCAACTGATTTCTTATAATGGAGAAGCAATGGTAATTTTAATGAGAAAACAAGAAAATTGAAATACTCATGAAAATGTGCCCATACAGAGATCCTTTTTAGATTTAGCCTTTTGAATTGTCAGCCAGCCAGGAGTCTACATGACCTGTTTATCCCCTCAGTATTAACAATTGGTCTACACTAGGGTTGACAGCATATCAATAAGTAATCAAAAATGGAAAAAAATGTGATGAATGGCGATACAAAAAGTGATTTTCAAAACTAACATGCAGAAATAATAGAATAATAAAAAAAAGTCTAGATTATATTTTGACAAAATTTGTCCTCATTGAAGAACCTACAATTGAACAAATTTTTGATTCACCTTTACACCTATTAAGTATAATAATCATCTTAATTTAAACCCCTGGTCTTCAATTAATCTATTAGATTTCACTTAATTTGAAAAAATGACATATCTTAAGATGAATGGTGCATCTATATCAATGTTCTCCACAGGGTTTTTTCTCAAATGGGTGCAAAATATGCCAATTTTTCATGATTTTTCTCATTTTTAAGTGGGTGCAAATGATTTTCAGGTGGGTGCAAGCCTGTTTTTAAAATCTCAGGTAGGTGCTGCATCCACTTGCTTTAATGCTTGGGAGATCACTGCATATAGACATTGTCACAAATATGATTAAAATATAAACATGTACTAAATCTAAATTCAAACGAATGATTATATAATATAGGAATGTTGGCTTGTTGTTTTCAGATTGTCCAATTGAATTGGTACCCTATGGCCAGAGACACCATATTTTATGCCATCAGTATTGTAGCCTTAGTCATAGTTATTCTAGATGAAAAAATATATTGGTAAGTATTGTAATGAGTTGTTTTAATTATTATAAAAAACATTATATAGTAAAGTGCCAAAAATGTAATACTAAATAATTATAATATACACTGTACCTTAGAAATCAATCAATCAAAAAAAAGAAAAAGTAACATATATTTGAAATCCATATTTAAATTGTTCTTATGCTGTTGTCATATGCCCTACTCACTGATTGGTCAATATGATATCATGTGACAAAAGGGTACCATCGTGGATTTCAGAAACACATATTCACAAGGCTAAAATCAATGGTCCATCCTATGATTTTCAAGAATGTCAGATGAAAGATGACTTAAAAATGTTTCAGTCAAAGATTTGGAGTTAACTAAATGACAAGGTTGCTCAAATTATGTACCCAGGGGTATAAGAGCGTAAAATCTGAAGTGAACCTTAATCAAGAAAATGGATGATTTTCTATTGGTCTTTGAGGCTGGCCTGTTACCTTAGTGTTTATACTTGGTTTCACTAGAATATCAAATCAGACAGTCGAGATATAAAGAAGTGAACATTATTATTATCTGTTTGATAAGTAGGAGGCATTCATATTTAAATACTGTACAATTATTCCATTTGTCACTGAGTAATTTGGCCATTTTATGTCATTAAGTTGTTAGACACTTATGGTCCTAATGTCATTTCAGGTATGAAGGACTAATTCTCCTTTTGCTATATGCCTTGTATATACTGCTGATGAAATTCAACTCAAGAATTGAAGCCTACTGCTTGCAAAAAGTGGATGGATGCTGCAATTGTACAAAATTCTCATGTACAAAATCTTCTGAGGATAAAGAAAAAATATTGATGAATGGTAAGTCCAGCATCCACATAAGTGTCATGGCAATGTCAACTACTTTGGTGACGGTTTGTCATGCTTACTATGCCATATCTTTGGTGAGTTTATAACTTACAGTTGTTAGGAATATCTATATCCCATATAACAGTACATCTCCATTTGTTTCAATCTCAGACACAGTGTTTTATCATGGACTATGAAATGCTGTTGTTTTTTATTTTATCTGAAAATCCTAATTATCATCTCTGTTTCAAAATATTGAAGCTTGGGAGAAGCCATTATGAGATACGTTCATTTTTATGCGATAACATAATTTGGAAAGGCATTTTTGGGGATCGACCAGGCGTCCGTCCGTCCGTTGGTCCGTCCATCTGTCCATCTGTCTGTCCGTCCGTCCGTCAACATTGGCCACACAAATTAAAACTGCTTTTCGGATTGAGTCATATCCACATTCATTTTATGCATATCCATAATGCCTATTTGACCTATCATTGCCATTTCTCAAGTTCGCCCAGTTTCCGAGAAATTGCGGATTTTGATGTCAAAAAGTCAAATTGATTTTTGGATGTAAATTTTGGTCAGCTTAATCACAAAAGACCTTACTGAGCTCTGAATAAGTAAAATTTTCAAGGTCAAAGGTCATCAAACTAGGTCACACAACTTTGCTATCTAAGTTTCTCAAAGTTCGAGACTACAAATCCAAATCAATATGTTTGTTTGAAAGTCAGGATGTTCCTCTGAAGGTTCCAAACTGTGTGAGCACAGGACCGTGGGTCCTTCATTTTCTTTATATCCACCGAGAAGGGAGCTATAATTCTATAAAGAGATACATGATGGAATGTTGCATTAAATGATAGTTTAATAGGGCAATATACATTTGATTGATTTACAGTATACAATTACATGAGATCATCAATACAGATTCATCTAGCTGAATCCAAGAGAACTGAGTACATATTTTCCACAATTTTGTTGATGTGTTTAAATTTTTCACATCATAATGACCAAGTAACCTATTCTCCAAATACGTTTATGTTTATCACTTCAGGAGTTTTACTGCTTTTCTTTTAGGTAACTCTGTCTCAGAATCCATGAATTACAACTCATTGAAGGACAAACACGAGACTGGTGACACTTCTGAAAGTGACTTTCCTAGTGATGGTATAGAAAATGATTCTAGAGGTATTTTTCTGCCTTCATTCTATCATTTTACATGTTCTTGAATTGAATATCAAATATAAAACAGTGTTTCTAACTCATATGATGATAGCATCTACATATAGTGTCATGTACAGCCATGCCACTAGTCATTGTTATCTTTCAGAGCTGTCATTTCTAGACATGTAATTCAAATGTAGGCCTGCGTGTTAAATCTGTTCACCTGTCTTATTAACTTTTAATGAAATTATAATTATTAATCTGTTTGATAAGTAATAATCACCAAAATAATCTTTTAATAATCAATTAACAAGAAAGATAAAGAACATATACTGGTTACTGTTGTTGTTTGTGGTGAAGCCTTATACATCTCATATGCTGCAGTTACATGGCCTCGTCAACTGCTGTATTTGTTTTCTCACTTTTCTTATCTCATTTTCCTCTCAATTCTTTGTCGTTATGTCACCACAAGAAGGGGTGACATATTGTTGTAGTCTCTATCTTTTTTCTGGATGGTGGTTGGAGGTTGGTAATTGACATTTGGCCTGTAACAAACGGCAGGTGGTGACATTTTGCATGTTAATGCCTTGTTGAAATTCACTTTTTAAGTGAATTTGGCCATTTTTGGACCAAAATTGTCACAAGTGAACCCCCCTGGAATTTTTACAAGTTCTAGATCTGTGTGAAATAAAACATTTTGGATTACTGTACTTATAACAGAATCCAAATCTATAACACCGTCTCTTTTAGACTATTTACCCTATTGCACTATTACATGATTGCAGATATTACACTAATACAATGTTCATAACCTTGTGTTTTAGAATTCCATCCACTTCTTATTGCTCAAGGTGGTGATAACTCTATGCACTGCTTTAATACTGACGATGAAGAAAACATGGTGCAGGGTAATTTCAATTTTATCATTTATAATTGACGTCTATAAGATTTGTCAACTCTTATCAGTCTATATCAGCAAACACAAAATTGATTTTATCTAGTTTCTGTAACACACATAAAAACAGACCACAGGTTTAAATCCAGCAAAATGGTAGGCTGTTAAGAACTATTTTATATATCTGTTGTGCATGTATGTTCAATGTCAATGTCATTGTTTGACGTTGGTATTGACAAACAAATGAGACATTATCTAATAACATGCACTATTATATATAAATACAACATGTAATGTTTGCTGTGTGAACTAAAATTTCTACCAATGAAATGCATGACTTTTTGGCATATCTAATTTGTTTGTTTTTTATGTTTTTCAAAGACAATTTTGTTCTTGTAGATAAACCTCTTATTGACTGTTCAAATTTCTTTTCACATGTTGCCCTTTGTGTTTTTTATTTATTATCATTTATTGAATAAAAGCAATAACAACATGGAAAATTGTAATTTATGTTTTACACACTCAGCATTCAACAATTAATGTTGAATTAAATCCTAATTATGAATCATGATATTGAATGTTATTATTTGTTCTTTATTAGCTTAACAGCTTGTAATGACTTATCATTCATCTTGAATAGCGCTATAATTAATAAGAGGTTCATTAATGCAGTCTTGATTTTATGTCACCAGCCAGCAGTGGTGGCATATTGTTATAATCTCCAACTTTTTTGTGGATGGTGGTCGGCAGTTGGTGCCTGTAACAAATGGCAGGTGGTGACATTTTGCATGTTAATGCCTTGTTTTAATTTGGAGACTTAATTTTAGAAAATGATTGGGCATTTCAAAAAATGAGCAAGAAATATTGAAAAATTGTGACACTTCTTCTTCAAAAAGTTAAAACATGACCCTGCCCGTTGCTGTTCCATTTTATTTCCTGTCGTTATTAACCACATGTATGTGCAGGGTGTACTTTGAATAAATGGTTGCATATTCAATTAAGGATTTAAGCCCTGGACTCAGTGCATTGTTTGCTGAATCATGCCATGAAGGTGTTAATTCCAAACCTTTGCATGACTGTGCAGCGGGCTTAAATTTTGTCTTTGGCTTAAATTCTTTTCACACATTGCAATTTTTTCTACAAAATCATCCAAAAGGGACGAAATCACTAAAAGAACACATTTGCAAGGGTCAAGTTGGCAAGTCATCAAATCCAGTGTGAAATGTCCATTCATCACCATGACAACTGTTTAACTATATAAAAACTGGTGGTCAGTGGTCGGCCTCAGCAGATGGTGACTTTTTGTCTAGTGAATAACTTATTTTTATAACGTAGGCTTTACCAAGTATATGGTTTCTCGCTTTAAACCTTATATTGATATCTGTATTGTAATTGTTTGTGCATATCTAAAATGAGTCAGATCAAACTGCTAAATAGCATGTTCTTTTACATTAGCCTTCATGCAAATAATAATCATGAAAAGTGTTTGTTTCACCTTTCATTATTGATATAACAACAATAAAATGCGTGATTGTTTGATTGTTCATCATTATAACCTTATTATGATTTATACCAGTTTGATTGATTTACCATAAACTTCCGATTGGATGATATACTCGTAGTCGACAATGTAGCATCAGACGTTTGCTTCAGATAATGTGAGAATATTTCAAATTGGTGTGTAATTAGAGACATAAAAGAAATCCTGGGAAGCAATTTTCGTGCCATTCATCTCAGGATATTGGATATAATTTTATAATTAACTTCCATTACATACAATCCAACCTATTCCATGACATATGCTAATACCCCTAATTTGGAAAAATGGGCAAGTCCAAAAACAACAGGATAACCTGAATCCCTCTAGGTCAACTGACCTAACACCCCTTTATATGCTATAACTTCATAATTGTACTCATAAATGTATGGAAAAGTGGAAAAAATTTTAGAGTCCAGTTTTTACTCTATCTGCTAGAAGTTTTCTTAGATAATTGGTAAATTTATGGCAGATAAATGCAGGACTAGGGGTTACCAGATTGTTACGGGAACCTAGTCAACGTGATAGTCTTCAGAAGTCGGAAATCTACAATCTGAACTGGCACAGATGACCAAGTAGCCTTATCCCGTGCCAGGACTATAGTCCTGCATGCAGAGCATTCTTTTGCCTGTACGATTACAACATGGGAGAATTTTCTACGCTTTTTACACTTAAGATACCTATTTCAATAGATTCCTTGTTATTTTAGCATTCTTTTCTTGTAGTTGAATCCACAATTGTCTGGGTTTATCGGCAGAACAAAGAAATTTTCGTTTTTAATCACAATATTTGCGTGTACTATTTAACTTATTTCAACCGTCAAATTCCTCCATTTTTGGTGCTTCCGGGCCACTTCCGGGTCAGTCAAACGGGGAATCCCCTTTTAAATCCAACCGCCATCTTGGAAAGTGATGGAATATCTCTCGATGAAAAAGAACAATGTTCCCGTTCTGCCGATATACCCAGACAATTGTGGATTCAACTACACGAAAAGAATGCTAAAATACCCAGGAATCAATTGAAGTAGGTATCTTAAGTGTAAGGGGCGTAGATAATTCTCCCAAGTTGTAATCGTACAGGCAAAAGAATGCTCTGCATGCAGGACTATAGTCCTGGTACGGGATAAAAGTAGCCAATCTTTGGGATAGCAAGGTGCATATTAGAAGCATGCACAACGTGAGTAGCAGTTTACTGAGGGAGTTGGTGCCCACCATCCCATGGTAGATCTTCAAGACTATACCTCAGCAGGGCCTCCTCAGCAGCAGAAGGTACTTGGACAGAGTCACAAGTCATTCTTCAGTGCAGTGAGCACATTTTGTGGTTGTATTTTAGTGTACTTCTAACACTAGAAACAGGTCAGTTTTTAGGAAATCCTTCCATGGATTTTATTTTCAAGCAACATGTTTACCTAACAGTCAATTTTAGGTTAGCCTAGCTTGTCTTTCAGGCCTCCTAGACTTCCAACAACGCGAACATCAGTTCTGATACCGCGAACTACGTTCCTTGCACTCGAACCACGAATCTTATATCGCGAACGTGAAATCTTATGTCGCGCACCACCATTTCCTTGTTTCCGAACATATTTCTTGTACCTCGCACAGAGATCCGTTACCGCGAACAATTTGTACATAATACATCCGGGTGTTTGGGATTCCAAGTTACATGTATATACCATGCAACGGAGTGAAACAAGGAAACGAAATTCAGTTTCTCCTCCGCTTTCGCCGGACTTTCGTTCCTATGAAAAGCATGCACTTGCATGTTAGATGACCCATTCGTCACTGTATTTTGAAACGTAATCTTAAGATTTACATCCATGCCCCGAGTTGGCAGGGCTTTAAATGATGTGCAAAAGGAAAGCACTGCGTCCCACAGTCATTCATTTTTGGGATCAGAGAGTATCTGCGCACGGTGTGGTGTAATAGGAGATGTCATTTGTAAAAGCGATATTTTTTTCCTTTTTATGACCGCCATTTTTTCAGACAAGTTTCTAAAATTTTAAAGATTGTATCATTTAGAGCAATATATTGGGCACATTTCTGAAAAATTCAAAAGACTCTGTTCATTGACCTTTCCTATGCTCCTACTTAAAGCTATTTACAGTGACCTTTTCAGAGGACTGAAAAAGTTATTTCATCATGTCTAGAGTCATTCTGACCATGGTCAGTGTGATCCTGGCCACACTGCATCATGCGACCCGACTACAAGGTTTACTTTTATACAGTACACCTACATTGTAGTAATCAGTTATGGCTGTATTCTGTGTAGATGCACTGGCCCGCCCCTCCCTCTGAGATGGGCCCAGAAAAAAGGGTCCGACATTTTAGCGCTCCACATGTCTTGGGTCAGATATCGTCCTGGTTGCTGAAGTCAGGAATTTTTTGGGAACATGGGGCAAAACGGCCCTCATAATAGTTTGATCCGTGCAGAGGTTTTTCTAATCTGTCAATTATCGCGAACTTTCATGTTCCATCTTATGAAGGGAAAATAATGTTGAGAGTAGGGCAAAATGGCCCATGGGTGGGGCAGAACAGCCCACAATGAAAGCTTCGGTTTTAAAACCAAGATTAATTAACTACAGGACTCGTCAACACACATTTATTTCAGACGGTCAAAGATTAGACAGATAAAGTATTCTTAGCCCTTACCCTAAAATTACGATTTAGTAGTCATTTGATGTATGTTTTGAAACAAAAACCAAGTGTTAAAATCTTTATCAGGATGATAGATTGTTATTTTCCTGTATGTAAACAGTTAATCACACAAGCCGTAATGGGGGAGGGGGCAACATTTAAGTTAAGTTTTCATCTAAAACGTTGACAGGCAAAGGGTAGCATCTTCAAATTATCAGTAGCTGGAGCGACAGACATAGCACATCAAGTATTCTATAAAATCAGGCTAGGAATATTGTACATAGGGTAACTCATTTCTTTATTATGATGCAATCATCGGCTCAAATGGACAAATTTGGAAAAAGCTGGTAAAGAGAAAGAAGATATTCTGGATTTTGAAGCCCTGTGATCGGAGGATGTCAATTTGGCCATACGGGTTGTTACTATAAGTCAGGTTTTTGTTGTTATTACCCAGCCCTTTCACTGAAAATGTCAATGCGCGTGATTGCAAGGTAGTCCCAATATCTTGTGTTTCCTAGAGCTTGAAAATACTGTTATCGTCAATGATTGGATATTCATTCACATGCATGAAAAACTGGGAAAATATTTCTTCCGCATTCCACATGAAAACACCTCTTTGGAATTACACTTATGCGTAATAATACGAACGAGATTACGGACTTTTTCGATCAGATGCGTGGTTCGCGGTAACGGATCTTTGTGCACGGTACAAGAAATATGTTCGGAAACAAGGAAATGGTGGTGCGCGACATAAGATTTCACGTTCGCGATATGAGATTCGTGGTTCGAGTGCAAGGAACGTAGTTCGCGGTATCAGAACTGATGTTCGCGTTGTTGATAGTC